TAAATTATATATAGAAATGATATTCATACAATATTTCAATTAAAACATTTTACAAATAATGCAATTTTTTTTCTACAGTTCAGTATTTTCTTCGGAGAGTGTTTTAATTTCATTTTTGAAAAGCATTTTAACTTTTTATGAATTCATTTTCACCACCGAACAACGTGGAAGCACGTGCTTCCGTGATTCAATGGAAGCTACGCCACTGGCCGCAACAAGCTCAAATTTTTAGTGAGGCAAGGATATTCTGGGGGCCACTGGGGGTTGAGGGTAGTGCCCTGATGGGGGTTCACGTGGGGTCTCAAAACCTGGATTTTAGTACATTAAAGACTTAATCTTTGAAATTTTTCACAGCTTTTGAATTATTTTTTACATGCTTTCTAAACTATAATGAAGCACCTGGTGAGATGGTCTATTTACAGAAATTGAAAGTAAAGTTGAAAGTATTATAATGAATTTAATACAAAGACGCAAATAATTTCAGATCAAAGTAAAGCCATTTTCAATTTTTCAGAAAACTCATAAATTTTATTGAGGCATTTGCCTCACTTGCCTCAATGGTAGTTACGGCCGTGGTTTTATACAAATACAAATAAAGATGAAGCGCTCGCGCATAGATTCCGGGCGGTCTTTGCGGGGGGTGGAGGGGGGGGGGGGTGATATCACCCGTCGTCAAGCAATGTTGACTTTTCCTAAATTCTATCTGGAAGGCGTGGTTTTGTGACCAAGAGAAATTGCATAAGTCGGTTTCCGTTTTACAAATTTATTAAAACTCAAAAAATTTAACAAAATCTGCAATTAAGGTCGGGAGTCGGTGGTCCGAGCGCCTTGACTGCCGCTCTAGATCTGCAACTGCCAAATATTCTAACATGACAATTGATATAAAGATACAAAGGAATATTTTTAATTGAAAATAGAATTAATGGAAGGGAGAAAAATACAAATAGATATCAATTAACTGCTTAATTCAATAAACAAAATATCACTTTAATTGTTCAGATAAAAGTCACTCAACGGCATGACAGGGGAGAAGGTGTTATGTCCTTGGGGTACATTTCAAACGGTGATAGTTTCATCATTCAGAGGGTAACAGTGTTTTAAAAAAATGTTTCTTGAAATTTACATGAAAGTATAAGCTTAATATACCAAAATAACGATGTTGGATTTCCGGGTCCTCAGATACTCACTCTCGCTAAAATCTATAATATATAGGCCAACGCTACTGGTCTAACAAGCTCATTTCATTAAAGGGTTTTTATCACGTATCAAAATTTTTTGATATGACAAAGTTTACATGCTATTAAAATCATATATTTAAAAATTTTGGGCAGAAAATTAATGTTTTTGATGTTTCAGCGATTTAAAGTTTGAATTTCTCAATATGCATATTTTGATCGCCGATGTTACGCGCCATTGCTCTGACGTCATAGGTGTCAATCCTGGTCAAGCGAAGTACTTATTATTGTGTATACAAAAGGGCTCATTTGTTGTGTCTATTAAACCCGTTAGAAAATAATTAAGTGATAATTGACAGCTAGTAAGGTATAATTTATGGCGTTAGGATGCACAAATGTGCACAAGGAAGGGTTTAGGAAGAATTTTTTTCCCACATTTCCTGGACTTTGTCGAGAGATGAAAGGGGGCCTTTTTCTGCAAATGCGATGGCGTTTATCTCTATTCAGAACAATTGTTTATGCCCGATCGATCACGATTTTTTTTTTCTGTCCTATAAAATATTTTAGGGAAAGATGCCTCTAAAAAAAAAATAAATAAATGACAAACACGCATTTTTTAAAAGTCGCACAGAATCTAGTAGGAATGTTGTGAACTTCGTAATGGCGTACGGCGCCATTGAAGAAGTGTCATTTCTAGCACATGATATTCACTGCTAGAACAGATAGAAGATATACAGGATTTATTTATATAATTAATTAAAACAATAATGAATGAGAATTTAAAATTCCCATATTTATAAATGTTTACGAAGTTAAACTTTAGTAATTCGTTCTATTTAGTCGAAGTCCCGAGTTGTTAACGGCTTCGTCTTCGGTACAACCTCTCAAATCGTCGGCATATTTTCTGGTTATTTCTCTCTGCTAGACGTTCATACATAAAAGATTGATCGTCCATAACCAAAGGAATATAGTCGATGTCAAAATTTCAACCGGCCCTATTGTGTATTCTATTTATTTAGCGTAAAAATCTATTCAATTTATTTTTTCTTACGATAAGTTTTACGAGTTCTCTATTGACCATTGACACCTATGACGTTTCAGTACCATGTGACCCCTATCTAATTAGTGGAGATTTTTACTCCGAGGACCCTATATTACGGGCGTTTTATCGTCTAATTACGGCCGTTTTCAACATTATTTCATAATTAAACGATAATTATATGTTTCAAGAATATAATATCGTTTCATTTTTAAGAAATTTAGATACGTGATAAAAACCCTTTAAGCCACAGTAAATTAATGCTTTGTTTTACGTCCCTGGGCGAGCAGGGGTTTTTTCACATTAAAATCCAATAAAACTGAAAACAAAACTTCTCAGAAATACAAATAAATTGACAAGTAATACTTCCTTTAAAGAGAAAAAACTGATGCTATCAAAACAAAGCATGCATTAACTAGTTTTAAGCTCTACTTGTCTATTTCACTTTTTTATTTCAGTGAACGGTGTTGCCATGGTCACAAAAAAAAAAGAATTTCTGTGATGTTCTGAAATGCAGTGCGATTTCGCCAATCTTGTAAAACATATTTTAGGTATAACACCATGGTACACATTAAAATTCCACTTGTTAACGTTGTAGTTGTTATCTACATTGATAAAATCCCTTAAATACCACTGGATCTTGATGCATACATGTACATTCTATAGAAAAGAGGTAGGACACTAATTTAATACCCAGTCTTCAGATAATGCGTTCATTCATTGAACTTTTTGGTTTTTAAGGCGAGTTGGCACTGAAACTCGTGATTAATTATCTTTGTTTTTTACTTTCATTTTAAAATAAATGATGAATTATTCTAAAATAATGAATAAAATCAAGACACTTCAACTCCTGTAGCATTACATGTAAGATTGAATTTAGTGAAAAGAGGTTTTGTGGATTTGTGAACTCGGCAATGTGTTCTCGACAGAAAGAAGAAATAATCAAGAAAAAACTGATTTTTATAGGTTCCTTAAGTATTTCCAAAATTTCTATAATGGGGTGTGCTCCGAAGCCCTGGTTCAATCCCACCTGTATCCAACCTTATTAAATAATATATTATTTTTCTTTACACCTTCTATCAGTATCGTACAAAGTGGAAATTTTGAGAAAAGAAAGGGAGGATGTGGATTCTCATATAAGTACCCAAAACGTGAAGCGGGGGGAGGGGGGGGGGTGCTTAACATTGTCACTGATTCCTTTCTCGAATGTAGATTTGATATCCTCAATATCACCCATGAAATTTAGTACCCTGTCTTTTCGAAAAACCCACGCGTGGTCCTTCACTAGCGTTTTATCCTTGAATAAGGTAGCGTTATATCCTTGAATAAAATAACATTCATGGCCCCAGCCATCACAGTCTCAAACTTCACCACATCCCCAGCCATACGTAATTTCATATACAATTCACTAGTTCCTCATAAACACCACGTTTTAAGTCGCAGGAAGATTTTGGCAAATTTGCTTAAAATTTGAGGCATGTTACCGGATATTGCAAATGCAAACATAATTTTTTAAGCTTGGTTTTAAGTTCTTAAAAAAAAAAAAAAAAACTTTTGACCGACACAATCAAATACATAGATATTTGCTAAAATGAATACAAATTAAATTTACTTTATTAATTCATTTATGTAATGAGAATATTTAATCACATTAAAGAATACGGGCTAGGCTAGGAGATCAAATAATAAAATAGACTGATACATGTATATTTCAATATTGGTCCTCAAACATAACTTCCACTGAGATTTGAAATATGAATAGTGCATATCTTTACATATTTTCAAATTTGATAAAAAAAAAAAATTTAAAAAAAAAAACTCATTAAAAAAAGTACTTGGAACTTGGAGAAAAAAAAAAAAAAAAAAAAAAAAAAAAAACCCTGACCAGAAGACTCACTTTGATCTTTACAAATTATTTCATTAATAAGTCAGCTAAGTCTGAACAATATTTTCATATAATATACTGGTTAATATAGATATATGCCACGTACGACGAAGTACAAATTCAAATTTCTTCTCAAATTGGTAAAAACCGAAATACAAATTCAAATTTCTTCTCAAATAGGTAAAAACCCAAGGTTACAAAGACTTCAAAATGAAAACTGGACCTTTATGACAATAGCTTAATTCATCTTTTTCCATTAAAATCATTTATTATTTTTAAAATAATCAAACTCGCTGTGTTTCTTCAGAACAGGGTTTACTTTTATGTTCTTAAAATTATATGAATGAAAATCCAGTACACTGAAGATGCCAAAAGCCAAAATGCTTGCCTGAGTCATTTGTGTCTATTGTTCTTAAAAAGATTGTTTTCAAAGATTTTCCCCTCCACATTCCCATGAGAAATGTTGACACCTGTATACATGTAACATTTAAACCCTAATTTTAGTCCTTTTCTAACCCCAATGTCCATAATTTAAACAAAATTAAATGTTGACACATAGATACATGCAAAATGAAAACCCTACTTTTAGGCCTTTCCTAAGCCCAATTTCTATAATTTGAACAAAATTAAATCCATATGATGTCGTAATGTTTGCATATGACTCTGATTTATGTTAACCTGCTAGTTTTTCACATATACATATTTCGATGCAAAATTTTTAACCCCTCTGCAGCTCTACGGGCAATGAAAAAAAACTTGAATCTATGCTCATTAAGAAAACTCTTGGATAACATTTGTCTTATATGACCAAATAGTTCTTAACATGAAAGATTTTAAATGACATTATCCCATTTTTCATACTTATTCATTATCTACCTCCCCTTGAAAAAGGATGCAGCCCTTTATTTTAATAAGCTTTATTCCTTTTAAGCAGAGATACATTGTATAAATGTGGTTTACACTGAACAAATGTTAGAAAAAAAAATAGAAAATGTTAAAAGTTAATGGAGGACAAACAGTCAAACATATAAATGTTGCATTGTTGGATACCAGAGACTTCTTTTTATCAGAATTGTGCAATGTCATTAATTCCCTTTTGGATCAGGTAAGCTAAATTCCATATCCATGTTTAGCTATGAACCTTAATTACTGTTTAACCAGGTGTGTTATATCTCCTTGAGGTAATTACACCATATACAAATGTAATTTTAAGGCGAATCACTTCAATATATTAATACTGTTAATACTGGTACAAAGATCTGAATTCCACTGGCAACTGTCAAAGGCAATCAAGTCTCACTTATAGATGAATCAGTATGTTTTTAAATGTACTTTTAAAGCTTTAATTCAATTGTCACAGCAGATTTGGTTTAACTTCCAAGAAATATTTTCAGCACTGGCTGGCTCTCTCAGTTGGGCATTCAAGCACTCAAAATGGCTGCATGATTTATTTTTTCTGACGAACACAAGGAATTTTCTTTTGTCCTGGTTTTCTTCCTCAGTCCACCATCATGCAAGCATCTATATTGAAATTAAATTTAAATGATCGTTTAATCATGCATGTTTAAAAAAAAAAAAAACGTTCAATAAATTCAAATATAACAATAATTCTGAGAGTACTGCATAAGCTACTGGTAAGTGTAATCTGGTTCCCCTTAAAAATCAAAAAGGCTATATATATAAACTCTGTCAAACATCAACAAAGTGGAATGAATTGCAAACTTGATCTGTAACTTATCAAGGTACATATGCAGTCACATATACTAAAAATCAGCTAAATACACATGTATCTGCAAGTGTTTAATAGAAAACAAAAAAATCAAGAAAACCAGGTGACGAAGACAGACAGACAGACTGATGGACAGATAAGGGGGAAACCTGTAGTCCCCTCCGTTTCACTGGTAGGGGACTAACATAATAACATATGATGTACAAATATTTTGGAGACTCTCTGGAACAGTAGTATATTGCTTAATTTTAAAATGAACATCATAAAAATATTGATCTTCGGCCATCATTAAAAATATCTTTGTTTCCCCTAACCCGACCCTAAAATCTCAAGTTGGGTAGGTAGGTAATTAGGTAAATAATTTTTTTTCAGACAGCAGTTTTGAAAATATCGTCTGAAATTTAATGGAATAATACCTTTATAAATAAGAACAGTACAAAAGAAAGCGATTTGTAAACAAGACTATCATACAAATGCCATTGAAAAGCTTAATTTAAGGTAAATTAAATTCCCAGGTATTATTAAATTGAACTTGTAAAATATTTCACACAAGTGTGAATTATTGAAATCGAATACTTAAGAAGACAAGATTCTCAGATCGCAAAGACCGGACATTCGAGTATTTTTCAAACCTACTATCAGCTTCCAGTGCTTAATGCAATGTACTTTTTCAATATTTAATTGAACCAAACCATATCTAAAAATGATTAATATGCCATGCACAATGTTTGCTTGTTTGTTTGTTGTTTAACATCCCTCTCAAGAATTTTTCACTCATATGGAGACGCCACCACTTGCCGGTGGAGAGCTGCAAATTTTGTCCTATACTCGGGACTTACAGCCATTGAGCAGTGAGGGATCTTTTTCATGCGAGCACCAACTGCGACACGGGACCTCGGTTTATACGGTCTCATCTGAAGGACCGGCCTCCATGTCCAGCAGTTGGATTTGAGCCCGCGATGTATGTGGAGGCCTGTAAAAATTAACTCCTTACACCATGACTTGAGAGCAAACGCTCTAATCTTTGCGCCACGTGGGCAACCCATACACAATGTCATAGTCACAAAGTTTAACCCATGAATAAAAGGCATGAAGAAAGCGTGTCTAAATTATATTCATCAGGATGCAATATGCAGACATATTTACAACTCCTATGGAACATAGATGAACTGTTTATTAGATAAAAACTCAAATTAAATAAAATGAAATTGATTGATGTGTTCACAAGGTAGGCCCCTCATCTGCTCATGAGGCAGGCCTTGCCATGTACTAAGTACCTTTAAGTTAATTTCAAAAGATGGGATTGCAAATTCCAACCGAAACACTCTTAAATAGTTATGGTATATTTTATTAATGAAATTTTCAAGCGTGTAGGATTCGAATAAGCTAAAGGCACAAGGTTGATACGTCACTGTTGTTGTTGTTGTACAACACTGCAAATAAAGTATTCCTATGTGACCACATGTAATGGGCACGATTTTGTTTCCAGCAAAGGCTTGAAAATCACAGTAAAACAATATCGGCTGTTCTGATAAAAACAGATTTTGATGAAATTGTATTTTATAAGAATTGATAATCATTAAAAAAATATCTGAAAACTTGTCAGTGCAATTTAATAGGGTCGGTCGCTTTAGGGGAAACAAAGGTATTGTTTATTTTGGCCTTTATAGTACATGCAAATTGATGTGTCATAATAGAACATGCTAACTAAATAAATTAAAAGGAAAATCCCACTTTTCAGAGCACAGTTGTAATAAAAGGAAGAAGTGTGGAAAACTAAATGGGACAGACTGACTGTTAGACAGTCAAGGAGTAAACCTATAGTCCCCTCCAGTTTTACCGACAGGGGACTAATAAAATAAGAAGTTTACACAACCTTAAAAGTTAAACATGTTAAAAGACCCAACTTTTTTTGGATTGAGCAATTTTGTTTTAAAAAATGATAATTTGGTGATTCAAACAGAATTATAAAGTTGAAAACTAGATTAACATAAAATTTTAATGAATAATGAGTAGAGAAAATATTTTTTAAACATTAGAAATTTTAATCTACCCTTTTTAGCAAATATTTTTCATCACTCGAATCATTCTTGCTATCATGGCAGATTATAGGGGTGGGACGATACACAGATCTTGCGATATGATACATATCTCCATACATATAGCACGATATGATATGTATCTCATTATTATATATGATACATTATAAAACTATTAGAAAAACTTACCATTTTTTCTTGACAATAAATCAACAAATTATTCTATATCAAATCATATGTGATTTGAAATTAATATTTGAAGTTCATCAATTTCATTGACTAAATATTAAAAAAAAAAACAATATTACTTGTACCTATTGCCAAATGTCTATATTAAACAAATTGTTTACAAATAGTTGTGTAGTTCACCAAGAACACTGACTTAAAATTCATTTAAAAAAAAAAAAACATCACATGTACATTATTATTAAGTCTGTAACGAAGTTAAGTTTAAAAAAAAAAAAAAAAAAAAAAAAAAAAAAAATCCACAATTTGTTTCAAAATTTCAAATTCTTGAAATTGGAGAATCCATGCTTTGTTATGAGCTGTTAGTGCCAGATGGAGAAACATCTTGCAAGGATGCTTAAAAGTTAAAATGTTTTACCCCTTATCTATAATTTATTAGTTCTAAAGCATGTTGTCAATATCAATATCATCTCTTCACTTTGTACAAGCCACCATTTTACATTCTCAATTTTTTGATAGGTATAATAGTTTGTGTATCGTTTTGTACTGATATTCTAGTGCATGTATCATAAACCATATCTTAGCAAAATATATCGGTATGTATCGGTGTATTTGTATTAGTGATGGGAATCGGTAAGAATTTCATAATCGATGATCAGGTTACTGTAACTAACTAATTATCGAATATAATCGGACACTAACAAAGTATCAATTTAGATAATTAAATGGTAAGAATGGGTAAATGAATTAAATGGTAAGAATGGGTAAATGGCTACTTTTCTGCATATGTATGAATGTTGTTACGGATATCAACTGAGTATATTAATTATTGAGTGTGTATCTGTCTTTCTTTAATTTTTCTGCATACACTGTACAGATATAAACTTACTTCCATACCCAGGAACATGCTTTGTTACCCAGGTATTGATACAATTGTCTGTTCGTCTGTGCCATAAGGAAACACAAATAAGTTAATAGATAAGTCACGGCTGGAATATTCCGTCTGAAAACTAATTAATGCTTGTAAAAAAAAAAATAAAATGATAAACCGATTAATCAAAATAAAAATTTTGTAATCGAGCGCTTGGATTATGCCAGCAATCAACTGATTTTTGAGTATAATCAATGATTGGAACGCCACTAATTTGTATATCATCCCACCCCTAGCAGATTAAAATTTGAAGAAAATAATTATTAGATGTAAAGGTTGCAGGGGCTTTTTAATGAAAATATTGTGTATAGGAACTTTTTTAACATATATATATATAATTTTGAGATTATTGATTCTATAAATAATTTTTTAAACATACCTTATTGCATAATGATTGAAGAATGCATTTATTCCTAACAATTTTACAGTGTCTGAAAACTTTTAGGATTTTTTATTTATATTCTATAAAACACATATAGAACAAAAGTAAAAATTAAGTGATATACATCAATATATATCATAAAACACAAGTCAAACTACTGTCATGATTTTTTTTTTTTTTTTTTTGCATTTCAATACTCATCCCTACTTTTTATTAAATGAATCTTTACTCTAGACTTTTTAATTTTTGAATGAGAAAGCATTTATGAGATTAGACTCAAAGCAAAGCTAGTGGGCTGACAACAAAATTAGAGGCCCATTATTTTTGTCTTTTCTAGTCCAGTATTTCTTGAGAAGAAGATATTTAACATGTGTAAAATTATTCCTATATATATTTCAATGTAAAACTTTGATTCCCTATTATGGCCCTACCATACCCCCAGAGGACATGTTTTAAACAGTTTACAATACAATCTACACTACTTCAGGAAGCGTTAACTAAATTTTATCTTTACTAGTCCAGTTGTCTTGAGAAAAAGATTTTTAAAGATTTTTTTCCTATATATTATAATATAATGTTTCAATGACTCCATTAGGACTTGGACGATACAATTTTTTCTATATCAATATGTATCACGATATTTAAGCCAATACGATATATATCACGATATGTTTAATTGGTTATTAAATCTCTTTTTTGTACTGAAATAAACAAAATATTTCTTCACAAATAAGAATAATTTATTCAAAGAAGTTGTACATCTGTTGTGAACCAAAATTATTTTACACAAGTGGTGTTAATTGTTATGTATTTCATATTTATGTTTAGCATATTCATTTTATATATAAAACCCAAAAGGGTCGCCCGCGTGGCGCAGTGGTTAGAGCGTCTGCTCTAGAGTCACGAAGTAAGGAGTTGATCCTTATGTTGCGGGTTCGAATCCCACTGTGGGACGTGGAGACCGGTCCTTCGGATGAGACCGTATAAACCAAGGTCCTGTGTCGCAGTAGGTGCTGGCATGAAAAAGATCCCTCACTGCTCAATGGCTGTAAGTCCCGAGTATAGGACAAAATTTGCAGCTCTCCACCGGCAAGTGGTGGCGTCTCCATATGAGTGAAAAATTCTTGAGAGGGATGTTAAACAACATACAAACAAAAATAAAACCCAAAATGTTAAGAAAAGAAAGAAAAACATGTAAGAATTTTTTTTTGCGACATTTGATATTTCTTCATATGTATTGATATTTCAATATTTCTTCATATGTACTGATATGCGTATCGTCCTCACACAGAATCGATATTATCGATATGTCAATATATAGTCCCAGCCCTAGACCCCACCATATTTTTGCATTTCTTGATTATCTACCCTTGGAAGGAAAGTTGGCTCTTCATTATAACAATTTACAATCCCTATTACCCAGGAATGCTTTGTAACAACTTTGCTTAACATTGGCACAGTGGTTCTTGAGAAGAAGTTGAAAATGTGAAAAGTTTACAGATGGACGGACAGACGCTGGACAATGTGTGATCAGAATAGCTCACTTGAGCTTTCAGCTCAGATGAGCTAAAAACTGGAAAAGGGGGGGGGGGTGTGAAGACATACATGCACCTTGTCCATTAGCTTTCATGAAAATTGAAATTATATACATGTATAAATTTAAAAAAAATCAATGTGGGAAGCTACATGTAAAAATTAGTTAAAATAAAATGGTAGTTATCAAAATTGCTAGGTCATTAACAATCAAGATAAATGTTTAATTCACTTACCAATAATGAGATCCAAGTTCAAAGCTGTATTTCCAATGGTTGATTCTTAATTGTCATCAAAAGTCTTAACTCACACGTCTTCCTTCAATTTTTGAGAATCATGATTTTGTTCATTTTGTCAGTTCAACAGTATTTTCCTGACTTTGTGGAAGTCTGAAGAAAGTTCTGAGGATTACACTCTACTATTCTTTTTTTCATACTCCCATGGACTTTATTCTGATGTGTCATATTTGGTTTCTCACAATCCTTAAATCTTTCTATTGTGGTTACATGTACATGCTTCCTTTAAACTTGGTTGATTATCATGTGATCAATGATCCACCACAAGCTGTAGAACAGAGGTCCTTCTTCTTATAGGGTTGTTGATAAGAAATGTTCATAACTGAAAAGACAAATTGATTCCCATCTATTAGAATGTTGCAGACCTTTAATGAAATATGAAGATTACAAACAGTATTTAAGCTCAAAGGTGCAGTGAAACATTACTAATTGTGAGTATAGCAAACATAGATCTCTAAAACATCGCAGGTGGGAACAAAAGTCATGGAGGAATAAGCATCCCCTGTCAACTGGTTACACCTGCTGTGAGCTCCTTGTCATAATAGGTTGAATGGATAAATCTGTAGACAATTCAGTATGAAAATAACAGCCTAACAATTTCTGTATGAAAAACATCAGTAAACATTTGACTTATCTGTAGACTGTATTTGTTAACAAAGTCATTGTATCGATCACAGAATTTGCAAAATGTTGGCTATACCTGTATCATCAAATTATTTACCAATAGCTTGCCTCATTTTAGTAATTGTTTGTACATAGTACACAGGTTCTTGCCCTTTGAATCAAATGGGAGACATAAACTCCATATGCAGGTGATAATGCTGTGACCGCGCTCTCAGATGTCTGGGACATAATTCGGCGGTGCACGTTCATTGGGGAATTTAGCTCAAGGGTTTGGGGAATGTTAGGAAGCACATAAGTCCAAATTTGTAGGGTAACAATGACAGTTTATTAAAGTAACAGTGAATTCCAAACAACATAAAAACATAAAGATGCAAGTCCAAGTCCTAACTAAAATTTAGATAAAGCTGGCCTAAATAGAAATAGAATCTTAAAAGTTTCTTAGTCTAATTCCTACATGGTTCTTAATTAACACATCAACTCACTAGCTCTGTCACTCTAGATCTCCCTTAACTCTCTGTATTCTCAAATATATATTATTAACTAATTGTAAGAAATTACTCAATGTAAATATAGCCAAAGGGCAAAACTTGTCAACTAAGTAATCTGAACAATGGAATACTCAAGTGTCATCCTTTGATGTCAGGAAGTCAAAGAAGATTTATTTAATTAATCTAACACCTAATCAGTGACCATTGCCATCAGGCAGTATGAGTGTAAATGATTTACAATTGCTAAGAAAGCACTAAATATTTCTGGGGATTAAGAATTAGCCAGATGTAAAATGTGTTGGTTTAATTTCATTACTTGTGAACAAATAACTTAGGATATCAAGAATTTATCAAAGTAAATGAATTTTATGAATGATATTAAAATTATAAGTAAAATTATTATCTATATTAAAATAAGTATCAAAAGTGAAATGGGCGCCATTTCACTGGAAGTCAAAGAAGATTTATTTAATTAATCTAACACCTAATCAGTGACCATTGCCATCAGGCAGTATGAGTGTAAATGATTTACAATTGCTAAGAAAGCACTAAATATTTCTGGGGATTAAGAATTAGCCAGATGTAAAATGTGTTGGTTTAATTTCATTACTTGTGAACAAATAACTTAGGATATCAAGAATTTATCAAAGTAAATGAATTTTATGAATGATATTAAAATTATAAGTAAAATTATTATCTATATTAAAATAAGTATCAAAAGTGAAATGGGCGCCATTTCACTGGTGATATGCTCCCCCTACTTCACCAAAAAGATTTCTCCTGAAATCTTAAAATACCTAAACTTCCATAATTACAAAGAATCATTATAACCCTACTTTTTTTTTAAACAAACAGCTACCAAATGTATAACTACATATATACACAATTGTATCTGATAGCCTAACCAGGTTAAATTTCTGGAAGAAAACTTTCTTAACCTAAAGGTATAGTAGGGTCAGAGAGTATGAATGAAACATTCATAAGAACAATTAACAATCAAAAATATATACATAAATAGCATCCTAATTGGTAGGAATTATGCTAGAATGAATGGAAGTAATGATAAGTATGTTTTACATATATATACAAGGGCCCACAATAAAATCTTTTACGACGAAAAGAAAATGATTAAGACTTGCATGTACAATGCAATAAAAAATAAACATTGAAAACAAAAAAATCATGCTATTAAAAGTGTCCTTTGAAATTTGTCCATTTGAATAGTACATTGGAGTTCATTTGCAAATTCATTTGGAATACATTGTTGCACAACAATTAAGCACAATTATATAGTTCATGAATTTGAATATTCTTATTCATTCTGAAATAAGAACTGTGTCCTTTGAAATCTACCTGTTTCTGGATTGGAATATTGTGAGATAAGCCTTGAATGTTTTGATGGCTTCAATCAAAGCGAGGCCTTCTTTATGGTTAATGTGCCATCGTTTTTCTTGATCTCGTAGTGCACGTCCTCCAAAAGCAATTACATTTTCAAGTCCTTGTGAATTTATTTGTCCAAGGACATATCCAATGGCAGCATCTGATGCATCAATGGATAGCACAAAAGGTTTGCCAAAGTCAGGAAACGCTAAGATAGGAGCTGTTGTTAATTTTGTTTTCAGGAGGTTGAAAGCATCAGTGTGTTCTTGTTTCCACTGAAATTTGATGTTTTTCTTCAGGAGATTTAACAATGGAGCACAAATCTTGCTGTAGTCTTTGATAAATTTCCGGTAGTAGTTACACATTCCAAGGAAGCTGCGGACCTGTTTGGCATTTCGGGGTTGTGGGAAGTCAGCAACTGTGGAAATTTTGGCACGGTCTACCTCAACACCTTTTTCAGAGATTATGTGTCCAAGATATTTTACTTCTTGGGCAGCAAAATGGCATTTGGCTGGCTGAAGAGTGAGATTGGCTTTACGAAGTTTTTGAAAAATGAGGCCCAAATGTTGTAAATGTTCATCAAAATTTTTAGAAAAAACCAAAATGTCATCAATGTATATGAGTGCAATTTTCCAGTTTAATTCCTGTAAGACTTTTGTCATCAGCATCTGATAGCTTGTTGGAGCATTTGTCAAGCCGAAAGGTAGACGTTTGAACTGATACAGTCCTTGATGTGTGATAAAGGCAGTTTTGTGTTTGGTTTTCTCATCCAAAGGCACTTGCCAGAATCCACTTGCTAAATCTAACACACTGAAAATTTTGGATTTTGAGTCGGCTATTGTGTCAAACACTTCGTCTAGCTTAGGAATTGGAAAGGAAACGAGCTCTGTGATGGAATTTAGTTTCCTGTAATCTACAGCAAATCTGTATTGTCCATTAGCCTTCTTAACCATGACCACCGGACTTTGGTAAGGGGAAGTGGATTCCTCAATCACACCATTTTTCAACATCTCTTGAATTTGACGTTCTGTCTCTTGTCGCATTTGTGGATTTTGAGCATATCTCGGTGTGCGGACAGGTTTGTCTGTGTTTGTGATAATTGAATGGGTTTGGAGGTTGGTTTTCCCCAGTTCAGAGGCATCCTTGGCAAACACATCTCTGTTTTGTCCAATCAGAGTCAGGAGTTGTTGAATTTGGACAGACGAAAGGTTTTGTTCTTGAATGTTTACACTGAGCTCTTTGGCGATAGATGTATAATCTGTAGTGGCCATTGTCTGTGTAGTATCTAGGGTTGACACGCATGCAGAGTGTACAGTGTCAATGGAGATGATGTCAAAGTTGGAATCCATATGAAAAACTTTCACAACAACTGAATTTGCTTTTAAAGCAACTGATTCATTGAGAGGATTTAGGATCCTGTATGGAACTGTGTCTTTTACACATGTAGCAACGCATCTGCTTCCAACCAGATTCTTGTTTACAAGGAGGTTCACTGGTTCAAGGAAGACTTCAGAACCATGAGGGACATTAGAAACTGATAGGGTGATTGTTGACTCAGATAGAGGTGGTAAATAAATTTCAGAATATGTACGAGCAAGGGAAAGATGTTGGTTTCCATCATATTTGTTGTATGGGGTTGTAATAGAAGCAATGGTTGTTTCATTTTGAAAAGAAACACAATGGTTTGTAAGATCAATGACAGCCTTGTTTTGTTCTAAAAAATCTTGTCCTAAAATGAGGGTTTGAGGCAAAGTTTCCAAGATGTGAAAAGTATGGGGCATTTTCAACCCATTGACATCTATATCAAGGTCTGTTGTTCCCAGAATTTTATGAGATGTGTTGCAAACACCCTTGACATATGAAAAATTTGATCTTGAAACATAAGGATTTCTGAAAATTTTCTTAAGAAACTTGTTGCAAATGACAGAAATGTTAGCACCAGTATCAACTAGAGCACTGATATGAAAGTTCCAGATTTTGACTTGAATTTTGTTTTTATTGGTGATAGCTGTTGAAATGGAGGCTACAAATTTAAGAGGGTGGGACGGGAGGGTACTAGATGGATTTCTAACAGAGTAAGCCATTATCGTGAAAAATACAGTAAATAAAACAATCTAATAAAAATAATAGAAAGTTATAAAACTGTACATGTGTCACATGTGATAGTAGTGGCTGTACTCACCAACAGGAACTGGCAGGCTGTTTCTGTATAGATTTGATGGCAGGGCTCCTTTCTTTAGAAGAATGTTAGAGTCACAAATCACAGTTTCAACAACACAAAGGTCTTGTAGAAATCCAAGAGTCCCAGAATGTTCACATTAGTCCACTGTAAGAGGAATTCTAAAGGATTCGAACCGGATTCTCGACCACTCTGTGACCGCGCTCTCAGATGTCTGGGACATAATTCGGCGGTGCACGTTCATTGGGGAATTTAGCTCAAGGGTTTGGGGAATGTTAGGAAGCACATAAGTCCAAATTTGTAGGGTAACAATGACAGTTTATTAAAGTAACAGTGAATTCCAAACAACATAAAAACATAAAGATGCAAGTCCAAGTCCTAACTAAAATTTAGATAAAGCTGGCCTAAATAGAAATAGAATCTTAAAAGTTTCTTAGTCTAATTCCTACATGGTTCTTAATTAACACATCAACTCACTAGCTCTGTCACTCTAGATCTCCCTTAACTCTCTGTATTCTCAAATATATATTATTAACTAATTGTAAGAAATTACTCAATGTAAATATAGCCAAAGGGCAAAACTTGTCAACTAAGTAATCTGAACAATGGAATACTCAAGTGTCATCCTTTGATGTCAGGAAGTCAAAGAAGATTTATTTAATTAATCTAACACCTAATCAGTGACCATTGCCATCAGGCAGTATGAGTGTAAATGATTTACAATTGCTAAGAAAGCACTAAATATTTCTGGGGATTAAGAATTAGCCAGATGTAAAATGTGTTGGTTTAATTTCATTACTTGTGAACAAATAACTTAGGATATCAAGAATTTATCAAAGTAAATGAATTTTATGAATGATATTAAAATTATAAGTAAAATTATTATCTATATTAAAATAAGTATCAAAAGTGAAATGGGCGCCATTTCACTGGTGATAATGCTACATAAGTAAGAGAAGTTAATAATAGAAAAATTAAAGGTGTTGTATTTATCATAAAAGAATGAGTGCACTTAAGGGCCCCGGTAAAATGTGAAAAAATGAAGAATCAAATTAAGCATAATTTTTCATCTCAGATCATTAATTGATCTCTAAACCACAAGATTCAACAAATTTTATCGCTGAAATTCATGAATATAAAAAGAGCAAAGCCATACAATGTGGTAGGGGTCAGCCGACATTCGTGATTTTCTACAGTAAATCGAGGACGGTCATTCATTTCAAAGCTTTTGTTTACTGTCAGCCTAACGTTGTACAAACTTGTGCGAATGACAAAAAGCGCAGTATACGTTTATAAAACTTGTGTGAGAGTAGGAAATTTGTACAAGATTAGGCTTGTACTTAAAATATTAAAAATGTATGAAAAGTTCAATGTTTTTCCTATAGCAAGCGAAAGCTATTTACCTGTATGACCTATGTTGAACCCACCCGTGGAATAAATTATTTAAAATACCGGTAGTCACGTGAGTTCTACCCATGTAAACATTCCTCAAAGGTGCTCACTGTAAAAGATAGCCATGCACATTTTGTATCATTATATCGAAGTCGTGCCGCATAGAGAAGTTTGTATGTATTTCGTTTTAGGAACACGGGAGGGTTAGGAGAGTTTAGTGTCGTTAAAATGTCATCACACATAAAAGCGTCATACATTTTTAACATTCATGCAAGACAGTGCTAGGGTATTGAAAGTCACCTATATACACTTTTTTTTCATTTTAAAATTTAAAGGAACTAATGTTAATACTTATTGTATTATTTCAAATGCAAGCGTGCAAATTTCTTAGTTTGATCACTATGGCTACAGGCATCTATACAACTTCATTCATTTTTTTCTCAGGTAAAATAGCGCAAGAAGTATCATTCGGCAGACACGCCCGTCAATGATCCACCATCAGATTGTTCAAGTGTCCGATTTAAATGTCTCCTCCCCTTGATTTAAATAGACGAAACTCAAATAAGTTCGGTACAACTTTTCCGGATTTGGGGTATCTATAGGCATTTAAAAATCTTCATTTGTTTCAAATCCGTGCTGATTTAGGTGATGTTTTAATGTGATGTTAACTAGAAATATCCACTTGTGTTTAACTATAACCAAGAGAGAACAATTTGGCAATATATTCTAAAGTAATACGGCACTGAAAAGGGTCCATTAAGCATTGCTTAAGTGCACTTGTCCTTTAGTTGTTACTTTGCCATTAATGTCTTTATCTAGTAAAATATCCAAATATGAAACAGATGTATCAGCCTCTGTGGTGTCATTAATTTTGAGGTCAAAGGGATATACAATGTGAATGAAAAAAAAATAATGAACAGTGATCAATCTCAAAAAATCTATAAACATGATAAACAATACAAATTTGTGAGGAGCTTGGGATAAAACATGGACCCCCTGGAAATCATAGAGGTGAGATCAGGTGACTAGGAGGAGTAAGCATCCTCTGTTGACTGGTCACACCTTAATATATTAATGTAGGAATAAAAATGAATAATTACTGTCAATTGATAAAGCGTCATCAATATATCTAATCATGTACCTGCAATATGTATAGGACAGGAAATACAAAATATAATTATTTATAAAACAGTGTATTTTTAACTTAAGCTCATAATATTAAAAAAAACCTACATTTCAAAAAAATTGAGGAGGACTAGTGGCTTTCATTTGTTTCATTGTACTTAATCATGTACCTGACCACCAACATATGGCATGCGGCTTAGTTGTGCCATTACGCATTTTGCATCAAAATTTTATTATAATTAAAGCTTTGCTTATATATAGTGTTCATACGAAGTCAATGCAAAGAAATTTGATGCACAGTAAATTAATTTGAATTAACTAATTCACATTAAATCTCCGTGTGAATGCAGTTTAAATTAAAGCAGCAGTAATTAACTTACTATGAATTAAACCCTCCTTGTGAAGAGGACATTAAATGTACATATCTCATCATACGGTACGTCATCATCAATGTTTCACAACCAGTTAATTACATGTATTAATACATATTCTTGTCAGCTGTCAAAATCACATTCGCATAATTAAAATGAAAGTGAATTGTTAAGTTGAATACCGATCCCGATTAGAATCAAGACAAAGGACTGTTACACTAAATCAAAATGTTTTTAGTACAGCTAGGATAAATAAATTGAACACTTTATTTGCATGTGTTTTCTCACTCAAGTAAACAATGTGCAGAGATTTCTGTTCATCAATACTTTATTGTCTTTGAATATTTTTTTTTAGGGTGTAAATATCCCATGTAGATTATGTTGAACATGTTGAAATTCAAGAAAATGAAATAGATCTGATTAGCTCATTATTATACCTTTGTTTATACAATATGATTTTCTCATTCAATTGTTAAGAATGCTTGCATTAACTAAAATTCAGTAACAGACTGCTAGGATTTCAATTTATTAAATGTTAGATCCCAGGGCCAATTAGTCTCTATCTCCATAAAAATACCATAAAATCAGAGCTCTTTGGTGTGCAGTATAATATACTAGAGTTTTGTTAATTTGTATGTGAAAACTGAAATTAAAATAATCATGAGGAGTAAAATATTGGGGGGGGGGGGGTTACAATCTTTCAGATTTCTTCTAATTCCATCCAAAAAAAAATATAATTATATAAAGAAAGCTTAATTTATGCAATCTAAGTAATACACAGATGATAACATTTCTTGCTCATTTGAAATTATATATTAATATATTTGTGGCACACAGACTTGTTCACTATCAACAACATGTTTACCTTTTAAATTAAATTCTAATAATCTGATTAAGTGGTAACAGGTACTCTTTATTAACAAACTTCTCCTTAGTACATAATTGATCACTCAGGCTTACAGGGTCTGCCAGTCAATCGATATCAAATATTAACAGAGTCCCTCTGAAAGATTATGAGGCCCCTTATATTTTTTCTTGTATTGTCTTGTCTATTATTGTCTTATTTAGTATTTTTAATACACTTATAAATAACTTGTTCCTAAATACTACATAATGATTTAACTTGAGTTTGGTCTGAATTTACTGTGCCTTTCCAGTCACTGCACTTAAAAATACTAAATGCATCTGCTGTACGTTTTACTCACATTAAGGTGTTGGTTATATAGAAGCACAAATTTTCGTGTGGATAAAATTTCGTTGATTTGTTATCTGAGAAGGTTTTGTGGGCAATAAATTTCATTGTTACGAATGTAACCTACTCATTATATTGTTATGTAAAATTTCATGTGGGATTTAATTTCGTTGATAATTGTTAACAACAAACAACTGACGAATTAAAGGAATATTTTTGTTTTTACATTATATATTGTATATATATATATATATATATATTAAATGTAGCTTCTCTGGCCTTTCTATTGATAGTGTAAATAAATGAGCAGAGTCATCTAGTGTGATTACATTTTTTATTACTTTGAGGGGAAAATTCATAAAACCTGTTGAACTTTTAATTTTTTTTTTATTTTAGTTGCCCCTATAGTTAATCCCAGGAATATGGCCTCAGACCAGTGAGTTTTCCTAAAGAATTAATAGATCCAGTTTTACATAATGCCAATATTAGCTTCTGAATCAGTAATTTATGCATGACTAATTCCATTGTCCAAAAAAAAAACAAACAAACAAACAAACAAACAAACAAAAATGAGTTTTCCCTGCATTTTCCAGTGCCTCATGTTAGAGTGGGTGGGAGTTAGAAAATTTGCAAGATTTCAAACAGCTACAAATCTCTGTTATTTATGTCTCTATGACACCCTTGATGACAGAAAAATTTTGAAGGATTTATAAATATTGTAAATGTTCAATCATAATTCCATATAACATAATTACTTGTATTCTCTGCAGTTGGAAAATCTTCTCTTTTTTTTAAATCCCTGAATGGAAGTAAATCTCTTCATTTTGAATTTCTGTGGTTGCATTATACCCCAATAAAGACATGTATATTGTGTAGTGTGTACCCCTCCTTCTTTGTCTTTTTATGTTTTGCTGAAAATAAGTGTGCACACAATAAAAGAGAATTTACAGTAGTATGTATTTGATTTATATATTAATAGTACATTACATGGTATGCCCCGACGACAACAATGGCCAATGGTATAGTATTAATTATCTGTCCTGTTTATTATGGAAAATAGCTAATTATGAAAATTATCGGTATGATAGTCAGTTGCAAACATTTTTTTTCCCCTATTTAAATAAATTCATTTTAATTTTTATCTGTACTATTATTGGACTATTATTGGTGAAGATCTTTGTCTTTTAAACTGAAACTTTAATTTTTTTTTACTGTCATAATTAACTGATATAACATACAGGCTTAATTTTAAATTTATTGATCCTCCCAAATATTTGCCCATCTTGGTTCGACAGACTGTCGTTAAGGTAAAACACTGATTCACGACTGTAGTATGAAACAATACAGGAAAGGTATACAGATCATGCTGATATACACAAACACATCATCATGAACTCAGATCATTAGAACTTTAGGTAGTGTTTGTTTTTTCCTGACATGTAACTTTTCAGTATTAAATGGGTTAATATTATATAATTACATTCATACCATGAACTTCAGTCTCCCTGCTGTGTTCTGAGTAGCCATGAACATTGATAATTTCTGATCCGAAATCAATGTTTCTACTTGTTCTACATGTGTTCTACCTGAAATGTATTATAATATCAGTTTTAAAACATGAATTCCATGATAAATAAACAGGAAAATATATTCTTTAATTACTGTAACTTAGTAGAAGCTGCATATTATTCATGAATCATCACAGCTACATTTACATATTTTCTCAAAATTGTCCCAATGCAATAATGAGTGCATGTCAATAAAAATGACAAGTATCCAATCTTTAAATTCTCTTACTACATTAGAATTAGGGCATGTCACTGAATAAATGCACAGCATGCCTTTGACATTAATTTTAACTTATATAGTTGCACTATACCCTCAGTTTGCGAGGGCTAGAAGACCACGTTGGTGCAGGGACCTATACACGCTTAACAATTATATCACTAGGCCTTACGTCCCTGGGAGAACTTCAGAAACAAAACATCTTAACCCCCCCCCCCCCTTCCTCATTTAAACGTGCAGGAATTATTTCTAATATTACGCTTCAGTTGTATATGTGGTTTTTTTTTTAGCTGACAGCTTATTATGTACACAATATTAACAATGAGTTAGTAGCCCACGTACCTATATATAACCCAGACTGAACGTTTCCCAGGCCCATAACACATGGCGTGACCGACTCTACTTTCGTTTTTAAAATGAAACCCTCGAACTTGACATGACACATAAGATGCGAAACACAAGAAAACATTTAAAAATTTCAGACAGCATATTGTACTACACAATGCAAAAGATCAACGTTGATTCAATAAAATTGAAATATGCTATTAGATACACATGCATGCAGAAATAGTTTTCTCCGCGAGCTAGTACAACATATGCTAATACGGAATGTGTTTACCTTCACAGGCAGAGACATAGATATAGAAAAGATTTCTTTAATATGTTTTTACTACATTAAACTTTTAGCATATTGGTTTTGACCATTTATACTGCAATCATGCAACGATGCACATTGTAACTATACAGCCTGTACCATAGGAAAATTCTTGAGTAGACAATGCCGTCATGTCATAATATGGACACATCTTTACCCATTAATATTCATAAGCCATTATATATTCAATACATTAAATTTTATTATTTACAGATTTTTTTACTTACCTTTTACAAATTTTACTTCGTCCCCATGTTCATGACTAAGTGTGAAACAAGTACGTATTATGATGTCATTTACGACGTCATCTGATGAAACGAGCATGCGCACTCGCAATGTGTGTAAGTCTCGCCGAGAAGAAAAAACGATGGATCGGTGATCATCTTATACACACTCATTACACAGATCTCATGAATCCGGTCAAATTAACACATCATTTTTTTGAAATCGGATGCATCCTAGGACAGTTTCTAGTTGATTTATGACAAAATCCAACTGAACACCACCATTTCGTGTTCATTTGGATTTTTGCGTGTTCATTTAAACGTGTGCCGTCTAAAGCACGTGTTCAATTGACAGGGTTTACAAACACACACACACACACACACACACACACACACACACACACACAAAATGGAGAGATCATATTTATTATGAAATCTGAGAGTCCTTAAAGTACAAGGGTAGCAATTTTCATCGAATATCATTGTTCTGTTAGTACAGAATGATAAATGTATGGATGTTAAATATTTCCTATAAAATTTACATGCAAGACAAACTGAGTCCTGTGTAGAAATTAAGAAAATGTATGAGGATTATCTCCCTAATCTTGCATTGAAGTGTGACGTTTGGTTTTTATGTCTATGTTACATAATTTTCATCCTGCATGCTGAAACATACTTTATTGAAAAACACATAACTGGAGGACAATAGATGGATGCGTCCAGTAAGTTTAAAGATGAATTAAAAAAAAAAAATAAATAAATAAAAATCAACAACTAGAGTTCCTATTGTCAAGCGTTTCGGCAGTACTCAATTCCCTCCTCAATTTTAACCTTTTCCCACGATTAGAGATGGAATGCTATATGTATCAAAGCACAAAAACATAAAAAATGAAGTCATATTTATGTAAATTGCTCTCTTGATACATAGTTGATTGATTAAAAAAAAATAGTTCAATTCATGAAAAGAATATAAATTTTTGCTAAAAACATGATTATTTTCGAAAATTTTTTAAAATGGAAGATCAGAATGAAAAAAAAAAAAAAGAACGTAACCCCCTCCACCCCCATCCCAACACAACATCGCCTCCTACATACACACACATCTTTACTCAAAAATATGTAATTCGCCTTTCCAAATTCATTCTTTTGTTCTACATCTTAAGTTTTATGTTATTGATGGCATGTTGACATTCTTC